AAAACGAAGAGATTATCGGCAGATCTTTGACACAAATGTTTGCAAACAATACGACCAAAAGGAAAGACCTGTTCATCACGAGTAAAGTGTGGAGTACTTTCCACAAGCGGTCAGCAGTGGTCGAGGCATTAAAGCTATCACTCAATAATCTGGGTCTCGACTATTTAGATCTGGCACTAATTCATTGGCCGATTGCACTCAAGTCGGGCACCGGATATCTCTGGCCATTAGATGAAAACAATATGACTTTAGACGAAGACATAAGTGTTGTCGAGACGTGGAAAGGCATGGAAGACGCCTATCGACTCGGTTTGGCTAAAAGTATTGGCGTTTCTAACTTTAATTCCGAGCAATTGTCTCGTGTATTAAAGCATTCATTTATTAAACCGGTTGTCAATCAGGTATTGATCTTAAACTTACTCTTAAAATTAAAGTAAATATTATTTTTTAAAATTTCTAAATTTTACTGTCATTTGATTTCCAGTTTGAAACACATCCCTATCTATCGCAAGAAAAATTGGTTCAATTCTGTCATAACAATAGCATTCAAGTTATCGCTTACTGTCCCATAGGAAAGGCAGACAAGGGTTTACTTAATGAACCGATTCTGACAACTATTGCGGCCAAGAATAACAAGACTGTCCCACAGTTGGCTCATTCAGAGAGACATTATTGTTATACCGAAAACATCGAAAAGACAGCGACTGATGGAAAATATTAATATTTTTGATTTCCAATTGACTGACGAAGAGATGACCGAAATATTTAAACTTAACAAAAACCAAAGATTTATTAATCCAACGGAAGCCGTGAATAATAGAGAATATCCTTTTCATATTCCTTATAAATAAATAAATATATTTTATAAAATTAATAATTGAAAATTAAAATGAATGTTTGCTATTTGTATCAGATTAAAATATAAGTTTTATAGCTTAAATAAGTTAAATTTTAAATTTTATAATTAGATGTCTATAAAAATTTTTGAAATACAAATTTAAAATCTTTTTATATGTTTGAATAAAAATATTTTTAATGAATTTATTAAAGTAACAAGAATTCAGTAAAATCTGTGTCAAAGCAAAAGATTTTAATTTTTAAATGCCAAATGAAATTTGATTTTTTAGAAATAAATTTTAGTATAAAACTTTCCATGAATTTAATTTATTTTATACAAAATATAAAATAACAAAATTAAGTTTTTATTGTATTAATGAATCTCTTTACAATTTTTATTACAAAGCAATAATAATTGTCATATTTGTGAATAGTATATAATTTAATAGTTATAATGAAATGTAATGAATCTATGTAAATAACATCAATGCATTTAAATCCTGGATTCATTGGACTGTCATTTCTTTATTTAGACATACATTAGATTCATATCAACAATATATTGCATACATAATACCAGACAGCCTTCAAAACCAATCAAACGAGTTATTTATAATTCAACAAATTATTTGATGAATACTGAAAGTCCGGGAATATTTCAAAATATTATTACAGAGTATTCTGGGTTTTGGTTTCACTTATATCAAGCGATTTGATAAAAATTCATTCAAAGATTAGCTTAAAATTTGAAATTAAAGGTATATTAAAATGTGGACAAACGTTCTGGTCTTGGCGTTAGCACTATGTCAAACAAATGCCGGTCAGTTTTGTATTAAATTATTTATTTTCTACATCTATTAAAGTTTTTAATTCAAAATGGTATTTGTAAAATTGTATATTTTATAATTTCCAAAAGCAGTACAAATCCCATCAGTAAATCTGGTGGACGGCCACAAAATTCCGACCATAGGTTTGGGTACATATGATCTGACTAATCAACAGGAAGTGATGGACCGGATTTTGAACGACGCCTACGATCTCGGCTACAGACATATCGACACCGCATATGTCTACCAGAATGAAGAGCTCATCGGCAGAAGTTTGGCCAAAATGTTTGCCGCGAATAAGACTAGAAGAGAGGACTTGTTTATCACAAGCAAAGTGTGGAATGTGTTTCATAAGCGCTCGCAAGTCGTTGAGGCCATGAAGTTATCGTTGAATATGTTAGGCGTCGACTACTTGGACCTGTCGTTAGTCCACTGGCCGCTGGCCTTCAGAAGCGGAACCGGATTTTTGCGGCCTTTGGATGAGA